ATATGTATATGTATATGTATATGTATATGTATATGTATGTATATGTATATGTATGTATATGTATATGTGTATATGTATGTATATGTGTATATGTATATGTATGTATATGTGTATATGTATATGTATGTATATGTGTATATGTGTATATATATGTATGTGTGTATGTGTGTATATATGTGTATATATATGTATGTGTGTATATATGTGTATATATATGTATGTGTATATATGTGTATATATATGTATGTGTATATATGTGTATATATATGTATGTGTATATATGTGTATATATATGTATGTGTATATATGTGTATATATATGTATGTGTATATATAAATGTATATATGTGTATATATAAATGTATGTGTATATATGTGTGTATATGTATGTATGTGTATATATGTGTGTATATGTATGTATGTGTATATATGTGTGTATATGTGTGTATGTGTATATGTGTATATATGTGTGTATGTGTGTGTGTATGTGTGTATGTGTGTGTGTGTATGTGTGTGTGTGTATGTATGTGTGTGTGTATGTATGTGTGTGTGTGTATGTATGTATGTGTGTGTGTATGTGTGTATGTATGTATGTATGTATGTATGTATGTATGTATGTATGTGTGTATGTGTGTATGTATGTATGTATGTATGTATATATATATGTATGTATGTATATATATGTATGTATGTATATGTATGTATGTATATGTATGTATGTATATATATATGTATATATATATATATATTTGTATATATATGTATATGTGTATGTGTATATAACTGTATATAAGAGCTTAGATCCATCCATAAGGGGAAACATTAACAATGAAGAGGGTTAAAAACAGTACAAAAGGGCAAATCTGGTGTCCAATTATATCTTATTAGGGTTGAACCCAATGAGACAGGTTTGGAAATCCTAAACTGGCAGCCATATTCAAATTCAAGATGGTCGCCTTAAAATGGTCAAAAATTGAATATTTCAGTATAATTCCACATCTATATGGAAAACGGTACACTTTGATCCAATCAAATGATTTTGGGCTCTCTGAATACAATAAACATAGTTTAAGCTGGGATGGCAGTCATTTTGAAATTAATTCAAGATGGCCGCCATAAATATCCTCAATAATCGAATATTTTAGTATGTAATTCCTTTTCTCTTTGAAGAAAAATGATAAATTTGGTGTTTCAACATATGTTATTGGGCTCTCTGAGTCCAATATACATGGTTTCATATATCTAAGATGGCATCCATTTTGAAATTAAAGATGGCCGCCATAAAACCATCGAAAATTGAATATTTTGGCATGTAACGTCACTTCCTGATGAAAAACGCTAAATTTGGTGTCAAATTATATGTTATTTTGTTAACTGTGTCCAATAAACATGATTTCAAAAAGCTATGATGGCAGCCATTTTGAAATTCATGATGGCTGCCATGTAAATTGTCAAAAATCAATATATAGAGAGACATAACCTGTCATTGGACATCCCATTTTTACCATTTCGGCTAAGAAAAATTGGAATTAAAAAACAAAATATTGATTTTCGATTTTTTTTTTATGGCGGTCATCTTGAATTTCAAAATGGCTGTTATCCTAGATTTATCTTAACTTTTTGAAACTATGGTTATTTATTCAGAGAGCCCAAACACATGTGATTAGATCCAAATTTACCATTTTGAGGAGATGTGGAATTATACTAAATTTTCAATTTTTGACCATTTTTTTTTTAGGTTTTCAAAACCTGTCTCATTGGCTTCAACCCTAATACCATTTAGTTGGACACCAGATTTGCCGTTTTCCATTGGATATAAGTGAAGTCTACAAATGCATCTGTCCAGAATGGATTTAAGGCAGGATACGGGTCTGCCTAATAAGACAACATTCACATTAACAAGATATTCTGTCTTTCCAGGTTAGAATATCTAGGATATTGAAAGTGTTTTTAAAGGCACGATGTTGGATAAATTCTTACCTCCTTTGCTAAATGGAACAGGTCATATAAAGGAATTAGGTGAGTCACACATTAAGGAAAGGGAAATCAGAGAAATTAAATACGGAACAGAATTATTAAAAGTTGATGGTAAAGATTAAATTGAGTTCAGTGAATCTTGGAATCAATTCAGTGTTAATTATGCAATATTATAATTATATTCATGAATCGCCTACATTAAACATATGGGTGGGGCTAAGATATCATACTTTAACTACTTAAATTGCATCTGTCTCTTATACACATCTAGATGTGTATAAGAGACAGGTGTGTGTGTGTGTGTGTGTGTGTGTGTGTGTGTGTGTACAGGTACACGTAAAAATTGTTGCCTTTTCGAAAAATAGGAAAGCGTTTTGAAAGCATAGACCTACCTGAAGTGAAGGAGAAGCGAACAGATTTACTAACATGCTTCAACACGTGCAGTGATTTAAAGTGTGTTGATGAAAAAATATCATCAGGAAGCTGTACACTCTGAAGACAGTTTGCAAAAATCTGTAAGTAGCTCAAATATTCATGTTTATGATAAACATTTAATAAAAAGAAATAATCATGGTCATGATCATCACCTTCATATTAACATCACCACCACAATTGGCATCATCATCATTATCATCATCATCGTCATCACTATCATCATATCATCATCATAATCCTTATTATCTCATCATTATACCATCATTATCATCATAATTATCACCTCATCAGCATTATAGCATCATTATCATCATATCGTCATCATCGTCATCACTATCATCATATGATCATCATTATCACCTCATCATCATTATATTATTATCATCATCATATCGTCAACATTATCATATCATTACCATCATAACAATCATTATACTGTACCATCTTTATCATCATCACATCGTCATCATAACTTAATCATCATCAGCCTATTTTGATCCTGATTATATTCCATTAAGTCATCCCGGCTTTCTTTGCCAACTCATCGCATGTTACTTCATTTCTGAAAAAAAACAGCCTAAATTTAAAGCCATGATCCGGAGGGAGTTGGATATGATGTTAAAATGAATACTTTAATAAGCAATTGCTCAGATGACACTATAGATAAACCCTAACGAACAACTTTGAGCTTTTTGCACACGAGACGAAAACAGGGAGAGTTTAGCCCCGCCGCCCTGCCACCAACCCCCTCCCCCGCTTTTTAAAATAAAAATAAAAATAAAGGAAACAGAAAAATGGCCCTAGGGTACTGTGTCCCGATCAGCCGCATTCGGCACCCTCTTTTGGACATTTCTGGATCCTGCCCTGCCAAAAGACATATCAGACAGTAATCGATATAATAACTGTCGGTCTGCATGGGAATAAGAACATTATCACTCGGAAACCAGCAGTTTGATTAAAAAATACACTCTGACCTATTATATAAAACAAGGTGACTAACTTATAAAGAAATTACTGCCAAAAATGAAAAGAAAACAAAAAAACATAGAAACGTTATAAATATTATCCATTATTTCCTTCAAAATTATAATGATTATGTGCATTAACAGTGTTTTCTTTTTCTTCTTACTTTCATTTTTTAGTGTCGAAACACGGATTCTTTCAAGGAAAAAGACGATGAATTAGTTTTACCTACCGACATATGCCCGAATAATTTATGACAACTTAGGACTGCATTTTAGACATATGACGTAATACATGTCATAATTATTATATTAGTATAGTTAAAAAAAAAAAAAAAAAAAAAAAAAAAACCCGATCGATTACAGTAAAACAGTGTGCTGTGAAAAATATGAAACCACTTGAAGAAGCACTCAATTTATGATGCATTAAACATATATCGAAAAAAATGTGTTACGTTTATTATATTTTTTTTTTTATTGATTCTGTTAACCATGTAATCGAGGCACAAGAGAGGATCTATGAGTGTTCGTTAGAAGTGGCTACTAAGCCATTTTTTAGATGTTTGATGGAAAGAATATTATATGAGTAATAAAAAAATAAAATAAATAAAAACATGGAAGCTCTCAGATGGTTAGATGTAAGCTACAACATGAAACTAAAAAGTCCGCTCCGACTTGTTTGGTTAAAAACTACCACATAAATTAATAAAGAACAACCTTAATAATAAGCCAATTCATAGTTAGAACCGCGTATGCTAGTATCAAGCATAATCGACATAAACACCATACGCACAACATAGGTTTATGTCAATTGACCTTGGCTAAGAGCATGCGCAGCTCCAACCATGAATTGCTTTATTGTTTGAAACAACAGCAGACGTTGTCATCACAAACATAAAATAATTTTTTTTAAAACGATGAGACGTGGACATGAAGTTCTTTTTCTTTTTTTCTTAAATCGACAACGTTACGTGTTGGGTGTAATAGGTCTACTTTTTTTTTTGTCTATTTCCCGCTTGCAGGCATGTAGACACTTTGGTATAATCCAATTTTTATAATGTTTTCAATTATTTCATTTCCAAAAACACAAGGAACTATAATTTCGCCGACGCAACGGCAACAGATTGATAGAGACGAAGAGAAAATACAATTTAAACAAGAGATAACAATTATGATAATAATAGGCCTATTATTTTTTTACTGTTATAATAATAATCACAACATAAAAAAGAACAATCAAAACGTGTACAATATAATGGTATATAAGAGTAAATCGGGTTAAAGGAATGAAGTATTATGTGGATATGTGAGTGTGATGATGCGATTTGTATTAATTGTAAGCGATGTAGTCTTCTCGCTTGGTCTATTGTGCTTGTGTTTGCATATATGCAGACAAAGTATTGGCATATTCGTGCCAATACACAGCTGTTCACGACCACGGTATATGCTTTTGCAGGTTCTTGCAGGAGTTTGGAGTTTTCGAATTTAAACAAAAACATGGCAGCACACCCACATATCCATCAGAAACAATTTAATGATTAAATTGCATAGCCTAAATGTCAAGGTGTAACTATTGTATTTATCTCAAGTTATAGTCGGCGTAATATACCAGGCTGTAAACTACAGGCTATTATATGCTCCAACAACACTCAACTACAAACTGTTGGACGCTCCAACAAATCTGTTAACTACAGGCTGAAACTGGTTTTCCACTAGGCGAATTTATTCGCGCGAATCAAAGCGTCGGCTCGCTTCCTGAACTCTGATTGGTTGCGCATTTTTTCGCTTAATACTGTACTACTGGCCACCAATCCAACAGTATATTATTCACTACCGTAAATACTCGAATAAGCGCCGCGGCGCTTTTAATTTTTTTTTGTTTAAATAAAGAAATGCTTTTCTTCATTGTGTTAATTGTTCATTTTAACATTGTATACATTGTATCAGTGAACAGTGAAATTACTTTAAAACCCTGTTTCATTACGCATGTAGTATTACACACACTCGATTAAGCGCTGCGGTGCTTATTCGAGAGCGGCGCTTAACGAAAAAGAAATTCTTGGCAATTCTAAAAACACTACTGATTAAGAGAAATGTGGGCTGTCTCTTATACACATCTAGATGTGTATAAGAGACAGGCCTATTTTGATCCTGATTATATTCTATTAAGTCATCCCGGCTTTCTTTGCCAACTTATCGCATGTTACTTCATTTCTGAAAAAAACAGCCTAAATTTAAAGCCAAAAATGAATACTTTAATAAGCAATTGCTCAGATGACACTATAGATAAACCCTAACGAACAACTTTAAGCTTTCTGCACACGAGACGAAAACAGGGAGAGTTTAGCCCCGCCGCCCTGCCACCAACCCCCTCCCCCGCTTTTTAAAATAAAAATAAAAATAAAAGAAACAGAAAAACGGCCCTAGGGTACTGTGTCCCGATCAGCCGCATTCGGTACCCTCTTTTGGACATTTCTGGATCCTGCCCTGCCAAAAGACATATCAGACAGTAATCGATATAATAAGTGTCGGTCTGCATGGGAATAAGAACATTATCACTCGGAAACCAGCAGTTTGATTAAAAAATACATTGTGACCTATTATATAAAACAAGGTGACTAACTTATAAAGAAATTACTGCCAAAAATGAAAAGAAAACAAAAAAACATAGAAACGTTATAAATATTATCCATTATTTCCTTCAAAATTATTTTTGCTAATGATTATGTGCATTAACAGTGTTTTCTTTTTCTTCTTACTTTCATTTTTTAGTGTCGAAACACGGATTCTTTCAAGGAAAAAGACGATGAACTAGTTTTACCTACCGACATATGCCCGAATAATTTGACAACTTAGGACTGCATTTTAGACATATGACGTAATACATGTCATAATTATTATATTAGTATAGTTAAAAAAAAAAAAAAAAAACAAAAAAAAAAAAAACCCAGATCGATAACAGTAAAACAGTGTGCTGTGAAAAATATGAAACCACTTGAAGAAGCACTCAATTTATGATGCATTAAACATATATCGAAAAAAATGTGTTACGTTTATTATATTTTTTTATTGATTTTGTTAACCATGTAATCGAGGCACAAGAGAGGATCTATGAGTGTTCGTTACAAGTGGCTACTAAGCCATTTTTTAGATGTTTGATGGAAAGAATATTAAATGAGTAATAAAATAAAAAAAAAATAAATAAAAACATGGAAGCTCTCAGATGGTTAGATGTAAGCTACAAAATGAAACTAAAAAGTCCGCTCCGACTTGCTTGGTTAAAAACTACCACATAAATTAACAAAGAACAACCTTAATAATAAGCCAATTCATAGTTAGAACCGCGTATGCTAGTATCAAGCATAGTCGACATAAACACCATACGCACAACATAGGTTTATGTCAATTGACCTTGGCTAAGAGCATGCGCAGCTCCAACCATGAATTGCTTTATTGTTTGAAACAACAGCAGAATACGTTGTCATCACAAACATAAAATAATTTTTTTTTAAACGATGAGACGTGGACATGAAGTTCTTTTTCTTTTTTTCTTAAATCGACAACGTTACGTGTTGGGTGTAATAGGTCTACTTTTTTTTTTGTCTATTTCCCGCTTGCAGGCATGTAGACACTTTGGTATAATCCAATTTTTATAATGTTTTCAATTATTTCATTTCCAAAAACACAAGGAACTATAATTTCGCCGACGCAACGGCAACAGATTGATAGAGACAAAGAGAAAATACAATTTAAACAAGAGATAACAATTATGATAATAATAGGCCTATTATTTTTTTTACTGTTATAATAATAATCACAACATAAAAAAGAACAATCAAAACGTGTACAATATAATGGTATATAAGAGTAAATCGGGTTAAAGGAATGATAGGCCAGAATGAAGTATTATGTGGATATGTGAGTGTGATGATGCGATTTGTATTAATTGTAAGCAATGTAGGTCTTCTCGCTTGGTCTATTGTGCTTGTGTTTGCATATATGCAGACACAGTGTTGGCATATTCGTGCCAATACACAGCTGTTCACGACCACGGTATATGCTTTTGCAGGTTCTTGCAGGAGTTTGGAGTTTTCGAATTTAAACAAAAACCTGGCAGCACACCCACATATCCATCAGAAACAATTTAAAGATTAAATTGCATAGCCTAAATGTCAAGGTGTAACTATTGTATTTACCTCAAGTTATAGTCGGCGTAATATTCCAGGCTGTAAACTATTCAATTCAATTCAATTCAATTCAATTCAATTCAATAATTCTTTATTTATCCCTCATGGGGCAATTTTAAAACAGGAATGAAATACTCAATAAGTTAAAATCGTTTATAAACATCGAACAACAATAATATATATAAAACTAAATAAATAGTAAGTGTATAAATATAAATCACCAAAAAACATACAAAAGAGACCAACCAGAATCATAACTACAGGCTATTATATGCTCCAACAACACTCAACTACAAACTGTTGGACGCTCCAACAAATTTCTGTTAACTACAGGCTGAAACTGGTTTTCCACTAGGCGAATCAAAGCGTCGGCTCGCTTCCTGAGCTCTGATTGGTTGCGCATTTTTTCGCTTACTATCTTATTCACTACCGTAAATACTCGAATAAGCGCCGCGGCGCTTTTAATTTTTTTTTTGTTTTTTTTGTTTAAATAAAGAAATGCTTTTCTTCATTGTGTTAATTGTTCATTTTAACATTGTATACATTGTATCAGTGAACAGTGAAATTACTTTAAAACCCTGTTTCATTACGCATGTAGTATTACACACACTCTATTAAGCGCTGCGGTGCTTATTCGAGAGCGGCGCTTAACGAAAAAAAAAATTCTTGGCAATTCTAAAAACACTACTGATTAAGAGAAATGTGGGTGTCAGTTTTTTCATTCACTCCATAGGCCTCCATTTTTAAATTCAAAATGGCCGCCATTTTTAAAACGAATTATTTGTATTAAAGAGCGTTTTAAACATTTTATAAGCATTGGGTAAGTGTTTAGATACCAAATACATTATAGTTGAAACAACTATTTATTCTGTC